GAACCCGCGGGCTCAGGCAATCCACTCACCTCAGCCTCCCAAAGGCACGGGATTACAGGTTGAGCCACCGAGCCCGGCTTTATTTTTATTTTTAAGTTGGAGTCTCACTCTGTCACCCAGGCTGGAGTGCAGTGGCGCACTTACAGCCCCTGCAGCCTTGATCTGCTAGGCTCAGGCAATCCTTCCACCTCGGCCTTCCAAGTAGCTGGAACTACAGGCACACGCTACCACGCTTGGCTAATTTTTCAGAGATGTCTTGCCAAGTTGCCCAGGCTGGTCTTGAACCTCTGGGCTAGGGCAGTCTTCTTGTCTCGGCCTCCCAAAGTGCTGGGATTGCAGGCTTGAGCCACCGTGCCCAGCAAAAACAAAATTTTAAATTAGCTGGGTGCAGTGGCACACACCTATAGTCCTAGCTACTTGGGAAGCTGAGGCAGAAGGATCACTTGAGGACAAGAGTCAAGGCTGCAGTGAGCCATGATTGCACCACTGTACTCCAGCCTGAATGACAGTGAGGCTCTGTTTTTAAAAACAAAACAGTAAAATAAAACAGCATTGTCCCAGAGGAAGGACGTTTTCTTTACTTCTTTTCCCAACCCTGGCCCTCTGTTTCCTGATCTGTAAAATGGGAATAATCATTGTTCCAGGCAATTCAGACAGTGCGGACCTTCGAATCCAACGGGGGGAGCAATCTGAATTGTAAGGGGGGGCTCAGATGGGGGCAAGTAGATGGCGGTGGCCGTGGCTGGACTCTCTTGGATCCCAGCCGGCTACCACTGGGCCATTTAAGTCTTGAGTAAGCAGACACCGAGTGCCCAGTGTCTCTGGAGGAGAGAGAGCCAGGGAGGAGGGGACCCTGGCTCTCAGGCCTGGGATGGGGAGTCCCTGAGGGCTGGGCCCTGGAGAGCCAAGGCCAGGCACTGGGGGAGGGGACCAGTAGCAGGCCTAGACCCAAGTCTGGGCATTGCCAGGACCCAGGCCCACCAGCCCTTAAGCCCCTGTCATGCAGCCCACGCCACCCCCACAGTCAGGCCCTTGAGGGCTGAATTGAGGTTTACCCTTTTCTCAGAGCCCAGAGCACACAGCGAGCCCTCAAAAAACCTTATTGCACACAGCACCTTCCCTTGGTTCTTAGCATTTTGGGGGTCACATCTTTATGACATATGGGCTTACACCCTCCCTTTTGGCCAAAGAGGAAACTGAGGCGCAGAGAGGCTGAGCGGCCTCTCCCAGGTCACACCACAGAACAGCAGGAAGGCAGAGAGGAAAATGCAGGCCCTGAAGCCACATCGCAGGCCACGCTGATGCCCATGGCTCTCTGGGGAGCTAGGCCCAGTGTCCTCACCTCTCCACCCCTCCCCCCACCTTGCCCTGGCCCCAGTGGACACCTGATGCTCTCCCGAAAGGTGCACCTCACCCGGTCCCCTCTTCTGGCCCCTGGGCCTGGCACTCGAGGCCCCAGATCCGATTACGCCCCCCCACCCTCCCTCACACACACAACTCTCCACATTGTTGCCATCGTAAAGTTATCTGGGCCCTGGAAGCTGCCTGCGAGGCTGATTCACTCACCTGGACAGGGCCCCAGAGTCCAGGGAATAGCCAGGCCCTGGGAAACGGCAGGAGCCGAGTCTGGGTCCCAACAGAGGGTGTGGCTCTGAGCCTCCGATTGGGAGCACTGAGAGCCAGCCTATAGGAGCTGGGATTTTCAGAGCTGGCCAGGGGGCTACCTGAGCCTGTTTCCCACCGCCCCGCCCCCCAGCCATGCCCATCTCAACTGGGCCTGGCGAGAAAGGGGTGAGAGCAGTCTGCAGGCCGGTCTGGTCCCCACTCTGACTCAGCAGGCCACCCCTGCAGGACCAGCTGGGAGTTGGAGGTGTGGGGGCAGGGGTCTCTGGTGCCAGAGAAGATGACTGGGCAGTCTCAGAGGGCCCTGGGCACTGGCCGAAAGCTGCCCCCCACGCTCCCTCACCACCGTCCTGGCTCCCACTGGGCATTCTGCCACCCAGGCAAAGAGCGGCCCCTCCAGGCAAAGGAGGGGGGTGAGCTGGGATGGGTCCGGGAGGCTGGTGGTCCTCAGGAGCCCACAGGGATTCAGGTGGACTCTCTGGGTCCAGAGCCAGCAAATGAAAGAGGCTGATGGCAGAAACGTCCAGCCCCCATCCCAGACGCAGCCCGGCCCGTGCCCGGGGATGGCGAGTCCCCCGCACGACTTCCGGGGCGACGGCACCCAGGAGTCCTCCCCCCCTGCCTCTCGCCTCCGGAGGCCTCCCGCCAGACCAGGACACCAGAGAGAAGAGGTGCTCTTCCGAGACCGTCTCAAGGACTTGCTGGCGCGAAAGTTGGTCGCGCGGCGCCTGGGAGCCCCCTCGGTCTCCGACGACCTCTGTGGCACGCGCCCTCCGGCCCCGTCTCCCCTCCCGGCCGGAGC